TGTAGGACACTCTGATAGGACACTCTTGTGGGACACTCTTGTGGGACACTCTTATAGGACACTCTTGTGGGACACTCATGTGGGACACTCTTGTAGGACACTCTTGCGGGACACTGTTGCGGGACATTCTTGTGGGACACTCTTGAGGGACACTCATACGGGACACTCTTGTGGGACACTCTTGTGGGACACTCTATCTGGGACACTCTTGTGGGACACTCTTGTGAGACACTCTTGTAGGACACTCTTGCGGGACACTCTTGTGGGAGACTCTTGTAGGACACTCTTGTGGGACACTCTTGTGGGACACTCTTGTAGGACACTCTTGTAGGACACTCTTGTGGGGCACTGTTGCGGGACACTCTTGTGGGACACTCTTGTGGGACACTCATACGGGACACTCTTGTGGGACACTCTTGTGGGGCACTCTATCTGGGACACTCTTGGGGGACACTCTAGTGAGACACTCTTGTAGGACAGTCTTGTGGGAAACTCTTATAGGACGCTCTTGTGGGCCACTCTTGTGGGACACTCTTGTGAGGCACTCTTGCGGGCCACTCTTGGGGGACACTCTTGTGGGACACTCTTGCGGGACACTCTTGTAGGAGACTCTTGTGGGACTCTTGTAGGACACTCTTGTGGGACACTCTTATAGGACACTCTTGTGGGAAACTCTTGTGGGACACTCTTGTAGGACACTCTTGTGGGACACTGTTGCGGGACACTCTTGCGGGGCACTCTTGTGGGACACTGTTGCGGGACACTCTTGTGGGACACTCTTGTGGGACACTCTTGGGGGACACTCTATCTGTCTGGGACACTCTTGTGGGACACTCTTGTCACTCTTGCAGGACACTCTTGTGGTGGGTCACTCTTGTAGGAAGCTCTTGCGGGGCACTCTTTTGGGACACTCTTGATACCACCAATCATCCCGCTCACCATCGTTCGCCAATTTTGTAGCATCAGCACAGCCATCTGCGGCAAATGTAGCCTAGGGCCGGATACCAAAAGTTCTCACTTTGATTCGAGGAGGTCGTGCGGTACAGGACTGCATTAATGAACTGAGGATTGAACCCCTGAACAGATTTTCCTCAAAATCCTTCTCCCAGAATCAGATGCCGCGTGAGAGGCACCTTAGATCCACCAAGATCACAGTTAATTTCACGTTGGTTCCTATCCCGATGATAAGTCCAACTGACATCTCATCTAAATGAGCGCTCCGATGAACACGTCGCCGGTGCAGGATGGGCTTCAGTGGGGACAAATAGGATAAATGAGCGGCTGCGGCCTCGTGGCTTAACACCATGACTAAGGTTGAAAGTTTTCTTCGCGGTGTCCATTTCGATCGATGGTTTGCATCCCCTGCGTAGGGATTCCCACGCCAAATCTAAGCTCCCCTTATTTTGAGACCATTGCCTCTTAAGCGAAGAAACACAATGTGTAAAGTAACAAATCTTTTGCAATTGACTAGAAAAAGCTTCCAGGCCTCTGGTCTAGATATCACCCCCGAAAAGCCGTGCCTTTAGCGCTGGATCTACGGGGCAGGCGCTTTGGGATCACCATCTGTACCCTCAGCGGGTTTCTCTTTGTTGTTCTTCTTAGCCTTAGGCTGAACAGCACGGATCAAAGCCTTGGCAAGTGAGACTCGCTCAGAAGCGAACTTGCGGACCACCTGACGTAAACATTTTGCGGGAAAATATGCAGGGGAAATGGAAACATCTATAGGAGTGGTTACACGTCGCTTCATGGTGTTCGATTGAAAGATTTTGCCGTGGCCTCCTGGATGATGGCTGCATAGTGTTTGTTCTTGTTGGCATTGTTTTCGATCAATGTCTGGAGCTTGGTTGCTTGCTCAGACAAAGAAACTGCACACGCCGTCAACTGATCGATCAGCCCAGCGCTCATCGCATGTGGCCGGAGCTTGAACGCATAGTCCCTTAGATGATGTCTGTGTTTTTATGTCTATACATATGAACTTTTGCATCTGCGCATGATGCATAATGCAGTCACAGTGCCTGCAGTCATTAGCATCCTTCAAAATCTTATCCACCAATGCTTTCGCCTTGTCCACAGGCTTCTCTGGCACCACCTGCAAACCCAAACCATAGAAGAGGGTAAGAGTGAAAGGGATGGTTTGAGAACATCAAACCAGTAGATGGACCCATGTGTAAGGCCTGGTCCTTGGCCTCAGGATTGGCGGTAGCATTGGTGTTTGGTTTGGGCTTCTTGGCCTTCGACGACGACTTATTGACAGCTGCGGTAAGCTTGTTCACGCCACCAGCACCCATCATGTCTCCCAACGCAAGATGCTGCTTCCCATCCAAGCAGCCTAGGATCGACTTGGTTTGAGGCTAGAGGAATGAAAGGACTAACCGTCACCCACTTGACTTTTCCATCAGGAGGCTAGGATCGACGAATGCTTTGAGCCCATCCTGGTCCAGGGATCCCTCCATCTCAATCTTGGTGATCCGCCTCAACTCCTTGATGTCCTCAATGTTGAATTCCACCAGCGGAAACCCGGGGTCTGGCACAGTCCTTGGAATCGCAGGATGCGCGTTGCTGTTGGTGGGCCCACATCGTGAACGCTCAGGTGCGCAAAGAGGGGCCGGGGTTGGGCTGCAGGGCTGAATCCCTAGAAAGGTTCTACAATGTTCTATATGATCTGAACAGGTGGGAAGACAACACCAATTCAATCAAAGGGTCAGACCGAGCTTGGCTTTGCGCTCCATGATCATCTTTGCTTTGCGCTCTCCGTGGTGTTTGACCAGCCACTGGTCATTGCGAAAGCCATACTTCACTTGGGTCCTTTGTGTCTCTCCCAAGATTTGTTCAAACTTGGCCTTGACAGCGTTGAAGCTCCTGCCGGGTTCCACGTACTCAGCAAACAACTTCCAGCGGGTGTCCTCATTCTTGCACGTCTTGGCAGGGCACCTCTTTTTGTTGTTCGCCTGAAAGCTTGCCATTCCCTCCTGTAACCGGTAGAGTTGTACTTGCCATCCCCATCCTCATGCTTTCGCTTTTTCCCCTTCTTTTTTGTCACTGCTCTTCTTGGCATCATCATCGCTGTCCTTGTTTCCTTTCTTCTTTTTCTTCTCCTTCTTGTCACTTCTTGTCTGCTTCTGCACTTTCTTCTGCGGTTTCTTCCGAATCATCTGGGTTATCCTTCTTGTTCTTCTTTCGCTTCTTGTTTCCATTGCCTTTCTTGTTCTTTGTCTTCTCTTGCTTCTTCTTGCTCTTTGGTTTCTCCTCTGCGTCTTCGTCAGATTCATCTTCTGTGCTTTCATCATCATTGTCTTCATCTTCAGCCTTCTCTTCACTCTCCTCCTCATCCTCCTCCTCGTCCTCCTCCTCTTCGCTCTCATCCTTGATCTTCTTGCCATCACTCAAGATGGTTGGCAGCTTTGGTGAAGGTTCATCTTCATCTTCACTGTCACCTTCACTTTCACTGTCAGCCTCTGAGTCTCCTTCCTCCTCTTCATCACTCTCCTCACTGCAAGCGCTCTCTTCTTCATCGCTCTCCTCGCTTGCGCTCACCGAACCCTCTTCATCTGTCTCCGACTCCTCCTCCGAGTCCGAGTCCGCTTCCTTCTTTGCCTTTTTCTTTCCCTTCTGACTTCCGGAATCCTTTCCATCCTCCTTCTTCTTCTTTCCCTTCTCACTTCCGGAATCCTTTGCGTCCTCCT